GTTGCAGCGTACGTATCAAGTGGCAATGCGAAGCTGGCACTCACCTATGGCGATTAGACCTCTCCCTGCATCAGTCGAGCATGCTCGACAAAAGACGGGCCTCCATGGTAGCGAAAGTCGCGTGGTAGTCTCGCGGTGCATGATGTGGGATGACTTGTTCTTCACGAGGCATACAGATGGTGCCGTGATATCGCTGAAGCCTCTACTCGCACCCTGGTCAAGGCTGATGCTTGGGGATCAAAACTTGAAGATCACCTCCGCTCGATGCGAGGATTTCAAGTTCACAGCGGATAGCAATTGGATGAAGAGTCATTGAAGATGGAGCTTGGGAATCTCCAAGCTCGATCGGTGTTTGGGAAAAGCTTGTACGTAGGCCAGCAGAGTGAGAGTGTGTGTACTTGAGGGTCGTGAGCTTCGCATGGATGTCATACTCGTGACTAGCTGTGTAGTAGCTGGCCACAATGAGGTGTTGTTCTTTGATCGGCAGACTCGTGAGTGCCGGTACCATCAATTCGCGGTGTTTTGTTTTCATCACGTGTCGCCTGCTGGGCCGAGGGAATCCTCAGCTGAAGTTTGTGGAGGCTGTTCTGTTCTCGATTATAGCGCGTGCATGCACGCTTGCTTGCATGCTGACCAACGCAGCACGCATGTCTGCACACCCTGCCCTGCGCCTTGCTGCGACAGAAGAAGCGCTCTTCTTCCAACAGAAGCATCCTCGCACAAGCTTCCCATCAACGAACGCTCTCCACATCTTCAGACCTGTACACATGCGACTGGTACATTCGACACTCAAACCCCACGCTTTCAGTACCAGCAAGTTGATAGTATCATATCAAAGTGGTGTTGCTCCCTATTTTGGCCAAGCTAGCAGGAAATTCGAGATGCAAGTCGAGGGATTGATGAGTGAACCTCCGATCACGCACGGAGGAGCCCAACAAGACAATGGCCTGCCCTCAAATCTGACAAAGGCGCTTCAAGACTTGGCTCCCCACAACAGTCGAGCTGTGCAGCGACTCATCACGGGCTTGCGACAGGGCGGGACCACGGAAGGGCTCAAAGCGTAAGTGCAATGCCGGTCCATCCGATGAAGATCCTTGCGCCAACTTTGCAAGCCCGCTCACCGTTGCTCGCTGCAATCATCACTTCAGGGTGCCTCACAAGGCTCAAGCCGCAGTCTGTGCAATCATCTTCGAAGCTCCTTCTCTCACTGCCGAAATCTTCTCCTCAAGTAACGCAGAGTTCAACTCGACGCTCTTTCAGGGTCTAGACGGTGGACAGAACGGTGATGGCGCTTCGCGCAGAGAACTCCACGTGCTGCTCACTACTCGAGCTCTGCATCTAAACTCTCACCCCGGGCAAGCGTCTTTGCCCGGAGGGAAGATGGATGCGCTAGAAACACCCGCAGAAACTGCGTTGAGGGAGTCTGAAGAGGAGGTGTATCTGCCCACTGATGATGAGGGCTTGGTCAGGCTGGGTCTAGGCAAACCATGTGAGCATGGAAAAAAGGGTGTTGACATTCGCGATATGGCCTTTCACTTTTGTCAGAGTGTCGCGTGCTGACCGCTCC